CTGAATGAGTAACCTAAAATTCTTTCATTCTGAGCACCTGTGAATCTGTGGTTGCAACTAAATATGATATTGCGTGTTTTACTGCATGTAAGTGTGTTTTTGCTCCCAATGTTAGCCACAGGACATAACAGGTGATAAATGAAGTTACTCCCCCTCACTAGAAAGAGAGCAACAAAGAGAAAGAGCAGAGAGACATCAAGAGAGAGGGAGAGAGAGAATATTAAAGCAACATAGAGAAAGAGTTTGACAGACAGAGAGCAGAGCGAGCTTGTGATGCCCTGCAGCTGAATTGAGCACCACTCTCATGAAACAAAGTCTACAGTGGGCCTGTGACACAACAAATACATATTTAATAGCTTTATGAATGATATGTGCGCTGAAAGAATTGCACGGGCAACGGGCCGCTCGACTTATATGCTATTGGTGTCTTTTTCGCTTCTCTTTCTCTCTCTCCTTGACCAGTGATAGTGTAACTCTCCTAAAACCACACAGGATAAACATCCCCTGCTCTATCAGGTCCCCCTCCTTCTCACCCCCACACACTGAAACTTGGCACACCCATGGTGTAGCCGCATCAGAGAGGCCCTCCGCCACTCTTCTGCATCCCACACTGCACTGGGGCTGCAACCCACAACATGGCACCCTGCAGCCCTGCCACCCAGGGGGAGGTAAAAGGGAAGACACTGCTCACATGGGGGGGTGCTGCTTCAACACTCTGGGTGAAGTCAATTTTGTGTTTATTGCTGATGATAAAGAGAAAAGACTGAGAGAGTGTGACTGATAAGCAACAGTGTAGTCTCCCGTACACTGTCTCTTAACACAAAAATAGAAGCAGGAAATAAAAGTTGAACTAGGAATTAACCATGTAAATGTACACATACACACAAACTAACCTCAACGAACATGTCAGTTCTAGATCAAAATATCCTCTTTTAAACCTGCTGTATTTAAAAACCAAACTTTTACAAGATGAAAACGATTAGCTACATGTATAGTGCTAAATGGAAGCACAGAGATATTGTGCCACTTTCTCTGTATCTTATTACTGTAAAAAGGTCCCCATTGCCTCTGTTCCTCTTATTATTCTGCTCTGTTTTGTTTGTTCTTCTTTCTTTGTTTGTTGTATAATTTGTGTACATAGAGCAGGTTGGGAAGCATCCCCTACTGTCCCAGTCCTTAATGAGATAATAACGCTGATGTGAACACGCTCAGTGTGTACGTGTGTTGATGGTTGCGCTTCCTTGTTCTTGGACACATTGTGGAATGCTTATTGGTCAAGAGAATGGCATGGTGGGTATGAAATGACCTAAGTTGCTTGAATTCATTGCCCTTTATTTTAAAAGCTGCCATGTTTCATAATTAATATAAAAATATTAGGGCTGTCGATTTACTGCATTAATTAATTAGTTATGGAAAAATAACGCATTAACACAATTTAACACATTTAATGCACCCACCCTGCCCTGCCCTGCCCTGCCTACGTAGGCTAGTTCATCTTACATTTCATATAGTCGATTGGAGACGAACATGATACAGGGCAACAACTCACTGCGTGATGTAGTTAGAATGCCCCTAAAATTCAAGATGTCATGGCAAAAATGCCCCTGTATGAGTTTTTGTCTCATATTGTAACGATCACCAGTGAGAGTGCCCGGAATAACTATCAGAGGGCACTCCAACCCGGACAGATACACGACACATCCACAGACTCCATTCCCCATAATCCTTTACCAAGACGGATGACAGCCATGATCACACATTCACCTGTGTCTCATCTTGTTTACTCACCTTATATAAGCCTGGTTCTTTCTGTCATTCTCTGCAAAGTCTTATTTAGTGTAACACTGCAATTCCAAGCATTCTCCTGGTTTTTGATCTTCTGTCTGGGTTTCTTGGTTTCCTCAGTTTTTGCCTGTGCCCCTATGACCCTGTTATTGTTTGTGTTTATGACCTTTGCCTGTTTTCAACTACGATTGTGCATTACCCTTTCAATAAAACTGCATTTGGATCCTCAACCTTCGTGTCTCGGAGCAGTTCGTAACACATATATAGGCCTATAAGGTATGATATAGCAATGTCATACAAGTAACGAGCACAATATGACACAAGTGCAGTTTTTATCCCAAATACCACAACTGCAAATGTTATCTTGACTTATCCATACAATATTCAATAAATAATAAGTTAATATTGTGATATATTTTACACAATTGTCTGTTCTTGCTTTTTTCCAACGAAAATATTACATATAAAAGCTAGAGCAGAACTGCTGTGCATCTCCGAGCAACACACAGCAGTGTTTAGTTTCTGAATGAATCCGCGTTTTAAACAATCGGGTGAACCAATGATTTAATGGCCCATTTATAAAGAGAGCCATTAGGTATGTTCAACTTGCGAGAGCGATCCCTCTCGTGGTACTTTGAAGTCATAAAGTAAACCAATTGGTCTGCACAGCGCCGCTTCAAGTCGAACACAGATATTTTACTTTATTCCCGAATGAATCAGCCGTTTGAACGAATCGAATGAATGTCATTTCATATTTCATCATTTTTTTTAACTTACATTTACTATGGGCATATATATATATATATATATATATATATATATGTGTGTATATGTGTGTATATATATATATATATATATGGGCATATATATATATATATATGTGTGTGTGTGTGTGTATGAATATAGCCTATACATATATACAGTATATATAGCCTATAAATATATATATACAGTATGTATATGGCCATAGGCCAGATAACCTCCTCCATATGACAGAACTGGTCATCTGTGTGACTGACAGATCATATGTGAGGTGTAGTGTATATGAGGCTGTATTAGGATGCACAGAGGCTCCACAGAGAGACAGAATGACTGATGAAGGGTAAAACAAACACAGTATTAGGGAGCTCAGAGTAAGAGAGAGAAAGTGGTGGGTGGAGAAATGTGCGTGTATTCTGGGGGGAGGGGCGTATTTCTCAACAAGTAATTCATATGTGTAATCATGAACTTCACTTTCACATCTGACTTGCACATTCATTCCATTACAGGAGCAATTTATGGATAGAGGATCTGTAATTGCCACAGGCTCACTGGACTGGTAGTTAAACCCACACATCTGTGTGAAGGGTTAACTGTGGCGGGAGACATTACTATGTTCAGAGTTCTGCCTCATTTCTTCTTAACACAGTCTTATAAATTAAAAGCACGCTGGGAGCTGCCTGTTAGGAGCTGTCAAATGGTTGCATAGCAATTATCTGCTAACGAGGATTAATCGGCGCTAATTTAGCTTCGGTTATTTAAAAAGAAAAGTTAAATGATTATTATTTTTTTTTTTTTTTTTACAATGTGATCGAAAGGCTCACTTGGTGGCTCCCATTTCCATGATTACCGATCCTTTTAGTGTTTTTATATGCACAGTCAGACATCTAGGATTTTATGTGAATAGTGAAACATGTATGAACAGCCATTAAAATACTCATTAAAAACAGTCTTGTCACCATTGCTCCTAATTTGAGTACTTATTTTTCTCAAGCTGAGGTGTGCCAGTCTCTGGGGAGTCAGTCCCTCTTGGATGGCAGACAAAGGTCTGCTGGTGGGACCCCTTGAGGGCAATACTCAAAATGGTGTCTGTTCATGACATTTTGAATGGCATAATGCACCAGTGGTAGTCGAGGACCTCCTAGTGTTCAAGAAAACAGTCACTTGCATGTATATCTCAGCCTTTACTGTAGCCATTAAATTTGGTCATTTTTTATATTCTGATAAAAAAAAAACCTTTTTGTAATAGGTCATGATAACCATTAATGTCTATTAAACTATTATTAAAACTATTATTGGCCAGACCGGAGCTTTAAATTAGCTTCGTGACCAAATGCCAGTTATGCATCGTAAAAAAAATAAACGCCAACATCCTCGCTCATCCTTGGGGTGCAGAATTTTTGTCCATTCCTGGTGCATCACATTGATTCTAAATGAAATTCTGCTCTGGTTGTCTTTCTAATGATGGATTCTGTCATAGTCCTGGGATGTGTGGAAAAAACGCGAGCATTGTAGAGCAGAACAGGTAGGTTACCAGAGCAACGGGTGCCAACCGTCCGCTCCGCCCTCATCCGGCACAGAACAATGCAAGTGCTCTCCCTCTCCGGAATAAAAACGTACGAGGGACGATCTTAACATAGTTGAGAATTTTATATTATACTTGCTCAAAGTACGCTGTTTTTATTAAGTGTTTAATGTTTGTTAAATGTCGCTCTAAATGACACATTGGTCGGCGAGCGCGCGAGTGTCAGATGCCCACAGAAGGATGGTGCGCGAGACCCTCAAGTGGTCCACGGGAGCAGCTGAAGTCCCTCAAACACTGATTTACCGGAACATACCGATTAATTTACTTTAATATAGCTGTGTTTTAACGTCCACCATGTCGTTAGCCCCTCGGGAAAACTATCGCACCCATCTGCGCCCCGGCATCCCCAGCAATTGGGTACACGAGCTCACCACACTCGCGCTGCCGCTTCGAATCGAATCATCCAGTGACAAAAAACATAGTGAGTAAAATCACGTTGTCTCAATCAACATTAGGCTATCATGATTTCATATCATGATTGAAAAACGGGCCACGTTGTGATTTGCTATGACATCCCGTCCCGATCCCGTCAGCAGGACAACGTCATGCCAATTCGTCGTACCACTACACCGCCGCGCCGTTATTGCTTAGAGGGACCGGCGTTGCTATGGCAGCCAGCTCTCAAGAGTAAGGCTGTTCTGCCCGGTTGGGGTGAGGGATGAATATGTTCGGTCAACCCGAGGTGTAAGATTGAAAAGTTGCGCACAGCAATGTGGGTTGCGCGTAGGTGGAATCAAACGAGCGCTGTCCCGAAGCATATTGAGAAAGGTCTAAAGCATCGCCAGACCCATATTGAGAGTTGAAATCCCACAACCACATACACACAGACACAAATCACTCACATACTGTCAAGTGGAAAAAAGCACTTTACCGTAGACTTGACAGGAACGTACAGGACGGGCTTCCCCGATGCCTCTTTCTTGTTGTGCTCGCCCAAGATGTTGCTGCCGACCTGAAAGCCTTTGGACTTCACCCAGAATTTGAATTTGGCGTTTATGTGGCTGTTGTCGACATAGACACCGTCGGACTCCTCGTTCTGTAGCAGGGTCTGCATGATTTTGTTGTATTTTCGGCGTGTGACGGTCTTTGTTTTACCCGAGTCTCCGTAAGTCCGGAGACACCAGTCCTGAAATTCGCTGAACATCTCTGCCTCCAGCACGACGGGACTTCGGCTCCTTTTTGTTAAATCCGCGCATGGTTTCTTAGTTGCCATTCCTTCCTCTTTGTGAGCCGCGTGCCCCTATTCGAACGACCAAATGCAACTACAACGCCTGAAAATGATAGTAGACTCCCCCTCCTCTCCCTGTCCCGCTACGAGGATGGATCGCTTCGACACCGGTGCTGGAGGTCCGCCTCCGCTAAACAAGGCGAAATAAAGTCGTATTATGTGTGCCTGTTTCGGGCAGTCGCACACCTGTTTGCAGAGACGCCTCGCTTACTGTCCCAAACCTCAACGGCAAATGTCACTTGCTCACATCATCCGCTGAGGAACTGAGAGAGGGGGCCGTCCTACCAAGCGGGTATCTCCCACCTGTGCGTAAACGGCTCGAGGACCAGTATAAGTGGGAAAAACCCCGAGGGTCGATACCGTAAACGTAAAAAAATACGCAAACCTTCCTGGCTCCAGGAAGGGACAAAAAGAGCTCAGCGTAACAGACTTTAACGGCCCACTTTTTAAACGACCGGCGCGAGCGTTCTAATACGGGATGTGGCACAAGCCTGTTGATGTCATAGCCTACTGGCGTGAGAATGCTTAGCAAAAACGAATTGAGCGAATTATTTCAATACTGATGTTTCAAACAAAAACGCCATGCGGGTTGTAATACTGCCTTCACGAGCCGCCGTCACGCGCTAGTACTGTCCCACTCTTTCCACCTGTTTGAATCGGACCTGCCCTTGCACTGCTGAAGCCACCGTCCCAAATTGACATTTCTCGTTTATAATGTTCAAAATTGAATAGCTGATGGTAGTTTGGTGACAGAAACGTCTGTCGTTGCTCACAATAAAATAAAAAGCAGTCGTAACGAAGTAGTAGGCTGTTTTCTTTCTATCTTTTTTTCAGGAAGTAGCCTAGACGGTGCAGCGCGTGGACGCAGTGGTTACAAAGCGGGTAGGCAGTAGCTAGTGTCGCAATAAAGAGAACAAATTTCTTATTCAGACAAAGGATGAAAAGGACCGACTTGATATTTCTAGTAATCAACATTAGTGGAAAAAGTCTCTAATGCGTATATTTAAATATACTGAATAAAATAAACGGCATATGGTTTAAATGTTTTGTTCTCTTGTAAAAGGATGATTAGAAAGCAACGATAGCAATACCAATCGGTAACATTTTTCTTCATTTTTTTTAGCAGTGTGGTGATTTAGGGGTATTTTTTAATGTTATAGTAGCCTACCCACTGATTATCTTCTCAATATAATAATAATAATAATAATGTAATAAGCCACAAAAGCCACATATACATTAATTTATAATTACCAGTATTTACTTGATACAGGGAATGTACAGGGGGAAATTACCAGAAAACAATTACAAATGTGTTTTTCTCTATAGACAATGTGTTCAGTAACACAGTGTTCAGTGGCTATAGTTTAAAATGATGGAATCATTTCAGGTAAATTGAGCAGGGTGCTCTGCTGTCAAAGTAACATTGTAATTAACTCTTGGGGACCTGTCAGCACTAATATGGATTGATATTTGATATATTTCTTTCTTTTTTTCTTTTTTTACTGCTTGTGATTTGTGTGGTCAAGTAAGTGTCCTCTGATGTCAGGTTCCATGTGTGTATTTGGTCTGTTTATTTCTAATACACTCTGTGACAGAGTGCTCATGTTTGGTCATGTATGTGTACATATTAGTTGCATTGTGTGTGTGTGTGTGTGAGTGCTGGTATGTGAGCATCCTCTCTTTCTCTGTGCAGTCAGTAGTGTGCGAGTGCTCCGGGGCTGTGTCGAGGACCATGCTGGGACTGCTGGTGATGTCGGCTGCTGTTGCTATGACAGCAGCTCAGCTCCAGCAGCTGAAGAAGCAGAACAGGCCGCCTGTATCTGCCCCATCCAGACTGCATTGCCTCACTCCAGAATCTTCTCTCAGTCCTAGAACATGTTCAGAGTTCTAAAAGGTTTAACTGGGTCCGGAATCACTTCAGCATTCCAGAATCCTCCCTGAGCTACGGACTTCTGTCAAAGGGTCTGGGATTCAGTGGATGAAGCTGACAGGAATGTATCCCTTTGATGTTCTCTGATTCTTAAAGGGGTATTCCACCTTGTTTAAAAACAATCCTCTTTGATTGGCACAACCCCTCATGTCTGTCCCAGATGTGCACCCCTTTAGTTAGAAAAGATATTAACAAACCAATTAACATCACAAGCAAACGCTAAATTTAGATGAAATAGATTTTTGAGGAAAATTTATTTAAATCAATCTTTTTTTATTTAGTCATCTTAGTGAGAGTAATCTCATTATTTTACTTTTCTCAAAAGAAATATTTTATAGGCAGAAAAATTGTACAGAGGTGTTTGAGAAAATCTTTTTTCATTGGTCTTCAACAGAAATGCGTGTCAAACGATAAACAATGTTAGAATATAGCAACGTGTGGGCACATATTAAACTAATTACTTGATCTTTCAAACACCTCAAAGTGCCATGAAGGAGACATAAATGTTAGTTAGCTAATTAGTAACTATATAAAGCCAATTATGACAAATATAGCTAAGTTGGAGTGATTTAGCAAGATAAAGGACTTTGAAATTATACATTTATTTGCTAAAATAATAATTGTTATGTTTTATAATCATTATTATATTTATATTTTATAAAAGTAAATTATCATTATTATTATTATTTATTGCTTATGGGACATGACTTTTTCATAGAAACATTATAAATCCATACAGAAAATAGATTTGAAAAAATACATGAATGAGAAACAACCAAAAGATTTTCTGAACGTTTTGGTCTTAAACACCTGCCCTTTTAAATTTTAAAAGGGCAGGTGTTTAAGACCAAAATGTTCAGAAAATCTTGATGAAAACCTCATGTTTACCTTTGTTTTACCCTTTTTCCTCATGCCATGCATCGCGCCTTTTAAAAAAGATATATAGGCCTACGTTCCACATACTTAAGGTAAATATTGACAGGCTTTCCTATAAAGATTTGATTGCAAATTCTGAGCTTAGTGTCTAACATATCTTTTATTTTTATTTTTTATAACAAAATATTAAAAATGTCATTTAAATTATTATTATTTTTTTTAAATTAACAAAAAGAAAGATTTATGTGTTGTTGATCCTTCAAACATATTGAAATACACTCCATGTGTTTTGGGCAGTAATTTCCCCCTTAAAATGATTTTTTTTTTGGTAGCCTATTTCTTTTACCACAAGCCAAAATTAAGCATGCATAACTGTAACCATACAGGTGTACACCTAAACACTCTCCCTGCAATGTGGTTTTCAGGTGTGAATTTTCAACTGAGCACATTTCTCTTAGTTTCATCATTTTGACCAAACTCTGGACAGAGACGCGCGAATTCCAGGTCCGGCCCGTGATTGGTCTGTTTTGGCCCAGCATTCTTTCTGAGTTAGCAGATCAGCTCACATGACTAATCGCTGACAGGCAGGGAGGTTAAAAGCAGATTTTATCCCTAACATTTCTACATCATGCCTTCTGGCTATGATTAAACGTACTGGCACTGAAGCGAACACTCTTATTTTTGTCCTTTTGCGTGTTTTTCTTTGAGTTTATGTTTCTGTGTCATTCCCTTTCTGTGTTTCTCTCTTCGTTTTGGCCACACACACAGTGCGCACCACCAGCCTTTGGCTTCAGCATGCCAGGTTTCTGTTACAGCAACAAAGGGTGTATCTCACTCCCATTGAGAGCGTGTGTGTGCAGAAGTGAATGGGAAGAAGGGATTACGGTGCCAGTGCAGAGGAGGCTGCCGTTTTGTATGTGTGCACACTGCTGCTTATATTTGCCGGCTCAGGGTGGGTGTAACTAAAGCTGCGCATTAGCTCAGAACTTAGCTTAGGAAAAAAACAGTCACCCTTTTTCTTTTAATCTCCCCTCTCTTCCCTTCATTTCTCTCTCTTCAAACATCTTCATTCCTTTTTGTCCTCCTTTACCTCAGTTTCCTCCCATCCTTTTCTTCCTTGCCGTTGATCGCTTCAGTTTTCTCTTTCCACAGCATCCCTTCTGCACTCGTCCAGAGTATCCAGTTATATGTCTGTGTGAATATAGATTTACATAATAAATATTCCATGCTATGGAAACAGCAAGAAAATAAGTTGATGTTAACCAGGGTGACTTCTGGTGCGTCATGTGATTATAATGATGACTGTGTGTGTTCAGCACAAAAACTCTCTTCTGTCCCTTTTAAGACCTCTTGACTTTCTTGACCTTTGCCCCTTTAGATTGTGCCGGAACACCCTGCGGCCCGAATTACATCAGGATCAGCTGGTGGGATGCAAAGGAGGAGGGGGTGCGTGTATTTGAGTAGGGAGGGGGTTTATCATTTCACATTGTTAATAAGCCCTCTCGCTTCATAATTAAACCCCCCTTAATACGCTCCCCTCCCCCCGTTGCAGGAGGACAATGATGAACCTTCAGTGATCATCTCCATAACCCTGTCATTTAGAACTGGAGGAGGGAGGGAGGCCAGGGAAAAGCAATCACTCCCCCTCTCTGGTCCCTCAAAGGGTCACATGACTCATCTCAGCCCAACGCCGGCAAGCCTGGCTTTCTAACTGTGGTGATTAGTGTCAAGCAGGAGATGTAGTCTCATCCTGGTTTTGAGATGTTTAGTGGGATGCACTCTAAATTAAGTGGAAGCCTTGGAGACTTCTGTCATCATTTACTCACCCTGCTGTATGAAGAAGATATTTTAGAAAATGTCTCAGTGTCTTTATGTCCATATAATGAAAGTCAGTGGTTCTAATGTTGATTTGGACCCAATTAACTTTCATTGTATGGACAAGAACAGCTGAAACCGGCTTCAGAATATCTTTCTTTGTGTTCCACATAATGGGCAAAATATAGTTTGTTTCAACATTATGATAAAATGTTATTTTTGGATGAACTATACCTTTAATTTAACTTGAAGTCCTCGCTCCGTTCATCATATCTGATGCCTTACATATCTGATGCCTTAAGAATGAAATATTGAAAAAGGAAAGCAGAGAGATTGAGACGGATGTGTGGGCAGTGCTGAATCAGATGAAGTTGAAATGCTGACGACGAACATTAATATTTCTCAGTTGATGACTGACGAGGAGTTAACTGATGATCTATTCGCTGCTGCCACCTTAAGTTCAGCCATGGAACTGCATCCATAATGCAGTATGCTTTTGTCTAAAAGCTGCTGAAATAGATGCAATCAGTTTTTTCTTTACATTTACCTGGGATGGCAACACTTTCAGAGTACGGTAATAACCAAGCTGACACATTTATTTATTTATTAATGAAGGCAGTCCATCAGAAAAGCACATGACTCTCCTGTACTGTTTTCTGAACAGTTAACAACAACATTTAAAGTCAGTACCATAGTATGACTTTAAATCAGTGATTTATTCAACTCGGGTCCTGGAGGACACCCGATACGGCACATTTTGGACATTTTGTTCAATGTTGAGGGTTCTCAGGATCAATCTCGATAAAGACTCTTATAAACAACTATGAATTGCTGTTTCCAATTGTGTCTCTCAGTCAATCTTTGTCTCTCTACCTCTGTATTTCTATGCAGATAAGCCATGAATTCTTCAGCAGGTGTTAAATTGCTTGTACAGGGAGGTGGTCGGCCTGTTTGTCATCCAAACTGAGGAAGAAGTGAGGGGGAGGGAGCAAACACACGACGAACAAACGCACGCACGCACGCACACAAGCAAACACACACAGACAGCCTTGTGGGACATCAGCGTAGGGTGGGCCAAGGCCTGGGCGTGCAGGCTGGGGGGCAGTGGGGAATGTCAGGACAGGAGAGCAAAGAGGCTGTTGGGAAACGACAGAATGGGCATGGTCACCATGGCAACGCAATTGGCCCAAGCCGTTCGAGGCAACCGGTAACCAAGTAACAGGAAATG